TGAATGCTTTTTTTTGCTCTTCTTGTTCATTTAAAATATTTTCCAGTAAATTAATATCGTTCTTAAGAAAAGAGTTTATGAATTTACCGCAAAAACGGTGAGAGGACTCAACTTAAAGTTGAGTGAAAACTCGCTGAAGTGCCACAAACGATAATTGACTCTAAGTGGAATTCAATGTTTTAAACTTTATTGTTATTTTTAATGCTTTAATGTTATCGAGATTAGAGAGAATTAAAAGAAATCTCCATTCATATCCATATATATATTCCATATGTATATACATATACATATATAAATATTTTATACATATATACATACATTTTATTATATAAACAATCATTCGAGAAACGTCTTCTATTCTCTTAATGGTCGGAAAGAAGAGAAGAAGGAAAGAGACGGAGAGAAAACTAGAGTCTAATGGGCATTTTCTCGGGCGGTAAGTTAAGGTTTGAACCTGCGAACACAAATTTGATAATCTCGATTCTTACCTTGTCGGCTACGCATCCGGGATCATGAGATTTTTCAAACTTTTAAGCCCATCATCCCCCATATGCACTTTGACATTGTTACGGATATTTTCTGCTTTTAAAACTCTTGAAGGCGTAATAAAAATTGTACGTGGTAGTCCTCTGCAGTACGCTCGGGCTGGGATATGCTTCCTCAAAGAGATGTTGCAATACTTTATAAGCGATTAAACAAGCGTCTGTTTCTCCGCTACTACGACGCATATTTTTTCCATTGCAAATTGCGAAATAGCTAACAAATATTCAGAGGGTTTGATTGGCTAATTTTGCTTACAAGATGAGAAATTTTCTACTATAGGAATGTGCGGCAAAAATTTGAATTTCCAAAACTTGGTCTTCTCGCATATAGTGGCCTCAGTGAAGAGTATTCCTTATGAACATAGTTTTAAAATACAATTAAAATAAAATCAAATAAATGATGAAATATATTGGGTATAGTTTGTGTAGGGTATTTAGTGAACAGTCGGACGTTACTTTTTTGGCAAGTGCATGTTTGTATTGTCGGTTTATATATGTTAAGTCTTTTGTAGAAATGTTTTTGTTTTTAAATTTTAATCATTTGTTTTTTGTATCCACTGTTGAAGGTCGTAAGCGTGGTACATTCATTTTTCCCTTTGGAAAGTCTAAAACTTCTCATCAAAAAATCCATATATTTAGTAGCGAGAGATCTAAAGTCAATTTCTCTTGTCTTCTGCCATTACAATCGTCCGTTCATCTGTCTGCTGTCGGAATGTTCAAGGTGTCATAAATTGAGCTGGAACAAGTAGCCTCAGTCAATGATCGCGAATGCGTCTAGGAGATTAAGCTGGGTTCCTATTTTACCGTAAAGGCTTAACCCTACAGTGAAATTTGAAAATGTCCTTGATCAGTTTATAACAAAGTCTAAAAAAGGTCCGAAGCAATCGCCTACAAACGGAAAATATATGACCGAAGGTCATGTTGCAAGGCATTTACGGGAACTCTTTCAAGCTTTGGGGAAAAAATGAGTTATGATTCACCCACAAAATGTAAAAAAATTCTTGATCGTTGACTGACCATTTTCGCTTTTCTTGTGTGTGCTTGCAGATAATTGCAAGCGAAAATGCTGCTGAGTTTATGCAAACTAAAAGACTCTTTTTTATGACACAAGGGGTGTTAAGTTTGTGCGAATCTATAAAACATATAAAAGAGCTAACGATAGACATATATATTTTGAAAAAATCGATCTGTTTTGGACCGAGGACCAACGCTATTGAAAATGGTTCGAATCGCGTCACATATTCGACCACTTCCCATATAACGCCTTATTATGAAAAGTTCATATATAGATAACTGCAAGACAATGTAGAAAGGAGCGGATATTAAAGTTAGCTTTTAAACCGAATAGAAAATTCTTATGTAGTTCTACTTATATTTCTCATAACAAAATTTTCAAATAAATTAAAACATTAGCTTTCTAGTTTTACGTACTTCATTATTAAATGCAAATATAATTTCATTATTAAAAAAAAGCGGAGAGCTACGCATGTCATGGTTTGAGACGAATCTTGGATACATATATGGTACACTGTTCAAAACGGATGTTTACAAACACTACTCCCTTTCTCCACCCACCTCTTATTATAACGCCTCCCGATCACCATGGTGCTCGCATCTAAACGGGACGTCTTCTGAGAGGTTTGTGATAAATAAAAAAAAAATTGTATTCGACTCTAGTTCGGCATCGAACTGCTTCACTTTCGCTAAGTATACAGTGACAGTTTATTAGTGTACATTACCTAATGTTCTACATTAGATGTTCTAGATAACAGCGGGGAGGAGGCTCTTATATCAACTGAATTTTAAATGATCCGATGGAAGAAGTTTAAAAATATAAATTTGGAATTCGCTTTCAAATCCTATTAAATCGCTTGTTTTCAAATCTCTTGTGAATCTGAATTGCTTTGGGGCTTTTGCTACGGTCTTGTACAGACCATATTTTTGTAAATTCTCTCTTTCAACTAACCATTATTATTATTATTATATTTTGTTTTGAAGACAGCAGACCGCTTAACACATATTTCCTGTATGTATACATAAATTGCACATAAAGACACGGTGCTTAAAACGGATTACAGGGAGAGAAAGTTTTCCGAATAGAGTGCCAGTTTCGACTACAAGATGGGAACATCGGAAATGTTGAGGAATTAAGATTTCACTGAATTTACTTCAAATTTCTTAATGACTGATTTTAATGATTTTTTTTTTTTAAGGAAATTTTCGTTTAGCGAAGTGATTGTAAAATTTAATAAAAACTTAAGTAAAACTTTTTAGATATTTCTTTTTTTTAGAAGCAAATTTTTTGTTTTTATTTATTTTTATTTACAAAAAAATAAGTAATATCAATGATATTATTAAAAAAAAACTTTTCAAGTTTTCAATTTTTTATTTTATATATAAAAGAAAAAAAATTTTTTTTTTGTTTTTATAATTTAAAAAATTCGAAAAAAATTTATTTTTAAGTTTAAAGAAATTTTTTTTAAATTAAAAAAATAGATCTTTAGAAAACGTTTTGTTTTACTTTTATAATTAAACCGAAGTTTTTTTTTTTAGTTTCAACAAGATTTACAGAATTTTTTACCAAATTATACGAAGAAAAAAAATTTATTTTTTTTAAATTATAAAAAAAAGTTTTTTTTAAAACAAACATTTTTTTTAAAAATACCTAAAAATTTATACTAAAGTTTTCTTTAATTGTTTTTAAAATTTTTAAACATTTTTACAAAGATTTATTCAAATTTTTTAAACTACACTTGATAAAACTTTTAAATAATAAATCTGAATGCTTAGAGAAATGATCGTACCCATGAAAGAAATATTAGGCGGAAAAAGAAAAGTTAAGTTACTAAGAGGGATAAAGTTGAATCTCCTGCCCGAGTTTGTATTATATATGATCTTTTTGTTGTATTAAGAGCCATTGGAGAAAGTTTTTATTTCAGTTCTTACCTTATCATTACCAATTCGAACTTGTTTTAAGAGAAATGACATGATTTAAGAGAAAATAAATCAAGATTTACCTTTCAGATCTTTAGACCTGAATAGGCTTACAATAAATGCACGGATGGATGGACATTATCATAGATCCTACACTAAATATCTACAAGGAGAATAAGAAAACTAGCATAACCTTATTTTCGATTAGTAATAGCTATTATAAGGAATATAAATTTGAAATTATTCTCTTCCTTTCTCTTCCATTATCGTTCCGTTGTTATGTTTACCGGTGCACTTCTTATCGTTGCCGTAAATTCGAAGGAAAATTGTTTGTTTATGTACTTTTGGTTATTTTTGATAACGAAAGGTAACCAATTTTACATATTTATTATTGCACACATGTATGTACACATATGCTTATTAAAATATCGTACACATCATCGACAACATCATCATCATAGTTATTACCATTGTTCATGTAATGTTTAATCTAAGAATTTTCATATTTTGATTTTTAGTTGCATATGGAAAAATAATTTGATTAAAAATACTATTACTTAACGTTTTCCCTTAAACTTTATTCACCTACTAATGTTTTTTTCTCTTTCCTTCCTTTTTCTTCTCGATATACGCTTTTCCTATCATTTTAAATATAACTTTATTAATACGTAGCTAAGCAACGTAGTTGTTTTTTTTTGTATTTTTTGGTTTTTGCTATGAATTCTTAGCATACGAGTAGATTGCCTTTATATTGCACTCACACACTTTCGTATAGTTCGGCATTAGTAAATAAATCACAAAAGTTTTGTGAAGAATGCACGTTCGTTCTCGTACAGGGAGTCGGTGCAGTCAATAGTAGTAACACAAGAGTGATAACTGAGTAAAAAACTCTTTACATCGTAAACGAATTTGAATAGAACTAAAGATGAGAGAAAAGTTTCATGCAACTTAAGTATCTTTTCACGTACATATGGTTATTGTTATATATATATTAAAAAAAAAAAAAAAAAAAAAAATACTAAGAAGAAAAATAAGAAATTTCTTTACTGAACACCTCATGGTTGTTTTTTTTTCCTTTTTTTTTTTTAATAATCAAAGTTTAAACTTTCTCGCATAATACCTGTTAAGGTTAACGGTTGTTTAAAAAAAAAAATAAAATTTTCTTAAAAATCTTCTTTAAATTGTTTTTTTCTCCAATCTTATCTTCAATGCTTGCATTTGCATATTTTCTATACTGCATAGCATGCCAGCTATCCTTATAAGGCCAACTATCAGAGAATATCGAAGCGTCGGCAAAATGTTTTTCTTTCTTGTTTAGTTTTTATTTTTTTCTTTTTTTCTAGTCAAAGTTCGTTGTGCATATCGGCTTGTTGTTCATATTGTTAAGTGCTGTTTTGTACGTCTTTATAATCTTTTATTAAAAATTTCTTTACCCTCTTTCGTCGCGTAAAGATTTTATCATTATTTTCACTATTTATGATTTATGTGATAATATTGAAAATGGCTTTCTTAGCTTTCCTAACATCTTTATTAATATATATCTGATAGACACATATCACATATATTTGTATATAAGATTTTTAAATAGCTTTTATAATGGCTAAGTGCTACATGCTGTTCTTTGGATAAATGAACTTGTAATTAATTTTTTATTTAATTTTTTACACTACATTTTTTTCAGCATTAGATTGATGCTTGTTTCTTTGTATAGGGCGTGTGTGTGTTTGTGTTCGGGTGTGTTTGACTTTAAATCCTTTGTAATGCATCACTTTACAAGGAGGAAGTTGTCATTACAAAACCATCAATAAATATTGATTATTTACATCTATGTAAATCTATGTAAAGTATAGTGTTTCGGGTTCAGATTCATTAATGGAAAAAAATATCTGAAACGAAATTTTGGCAAAAAAAAGGAAAAATTAAAACAAAATACAGTGTTCCAATCCACAAAAGATTTCTATATATATTAAAAAAGTTCTATCTAAGCTACAGAAAGCCTTTATCTACTATTACTATTAACATTTCAAGCGATATCTAAAATCCGACAACCTTTCTGGCCTACTTGAGTTAAAAATCCATTATCGGCTTATCTTATAAAAAAGAATTAGAATCGGGCTATTCATCACTTCGGTGATAGTGAAGTTGAAGCTCTAGATATCTAGGAAAAGCATTGGTAAGAAGTATTTCATTGTCTCTCTTCCCTCCGTACTCCACTTATAGCTTTTGCTGAATAACACCGTGCGTAAGTGTGGAGAGGACAAGGCTGAGTGACTAGTTAAATATTGAATGAATATGGTATTTATGAAGGCATTCCATCTCTAGGAATAACAAGTCAAGTATTCAAATAGAAAGAAGCAGTTTACATGACGGTAATCTCTGTAGGGAAAGGCATTCCGGACGAAATCTTCCTCGATCAATAACCAAAAAACAATCAGATGCTCCTTACTGTCAAGAAGATTTACTTGCATGCGAAGGTTTCTTAATATTCGAAACTGACTACTATGCTGACGAAACGTCCTATATTTATGTCTACTTCTGTAACCCCTTGCGCTCCTATATCAGCTAACTGACGACATTGTATTTCTGGCACCAACACTTATGTCGGGCTAGAGCCGATTTACCGGTACTTAAAGACAAAAAAGATGCGAGTGCAAAATATGCAAAAACGATCTTTCTATGCCTTTTAGCGCCTTCTTAACTGCAGGCTCTTTTCTTTCTGAACACCCACAAGTGTTGGAAAGCGTCCATTATGAAATATCTGTAAGATGATGTAAAAAGTCTGCAATAGGGCGTTAAGAACCTCACCAAAGTGGCCACGATGCAGGTGCCGTAAATTTATTTTTAACATTAAACGACGGTTTCTTAAGAATATATCCCGTCAGTTACAGAGAGTAAGTCGCTGGTGTACCTATAAACTTCCTTGTCACTTTTCAGGCGGTTTAAACTTTGCATCATTGATTTGAGGTCCTGTCCAGTTATATGCTTTCTAAAGCTGCAAAATTTAGATGCAATAAGTGCTCTTGCGTTAGGAGCAAGGTATAGAAGGAAAATTTGTAGCACTACGGCTTGAAGTACTACTTTTCGTTGCGGTAGTGCTTTAGTAAAACAAGGCTTAACATCGCATTTGAAAAGCATCACTTATTAGCACGATATTCTGCTCCTTAGTGTTTAAAGTGTTTCTGGTTTTCTGAGAGAGAACCGCACCTAAGCTAGAAAGCGGCTTTAATATTCTCCCTGAAAATCTGTTAGTAACAGAATTCCATTTTATAATAAATTTGGCAGCTCTGTCTAAACGGCCAGTAACTAAAGAAGCAGAGTGAAATAAAGACAACGCGGAGTAAGAAAGTTGGTATTAAATAGAATTGAAAAAGAAGTTTCTAACAACGCAAGAGTGAGAGAAGGATATCTACAGAACTGATGTAGAAAAGAATCGCTTACCATTTGTAAGAAAATTCTTGATCTCCTGAAACACTGTACTTTAGTTGGTAATTTTCTTTCTCACTTTGTCTTCTCCTATTGATGTATATATGTACAAAAGAATTTATTAAAAAAAAACTGAAAACTATGTTGATTACTTTTGTTGTTGCAATTCTGTACGTACAGTACCCGTCGACGTAGAGGACGTCGATGACGATGACAATGATGATGTTGAGGATGAGGATGACGTTAGTGTTGATGGTAATATTGACACTGTTGATGCTGGGTCGGCTGTTGTGTTAGAATGTGATGAAATTGTTGAACATAATGATGTTGCAAGAGATGCATTTTTATGTGAATTTTTGTTGGCTGCTGCTGCTGTTGTTGTTGTTGTTGTTGTATCGTTGCCCAGATGACTGTTATTACAAAGTTCGCCTGAGACAGTTGACATTGCATTGGACTGTGGGATTGGTGTCAGTGCCTTTGTTAAGTTACCAGGATTTGACTTATCTCTATTGACATACTGTAGTAATAAAGTCTGTTGTAGTTGTTTCTGTTGTTGCTGTTCTTGTTGTTGCTGCTGTTGTTGTTGACTGTTGCAATCCGTTACGTTTGCATTTCTCTGCAACTGTGGTATACGTGTAGGCGATGACGGCACTGTCAACGTCGTGCAATTTGAACTTAATATGACTTCCCCGGGCATTTCTACATCGGTTGATGATAACGTTGAAGCTTTTGATGAGACTAACGGTGATGATGGCTTAGCTAAAGAAGTCAATAATGTCGCAGACACTTGCTGTGATATCGACTCAGGGCAGTTAGACGGATGTGCAGAAGTCGTTTGCGAAGGCGTTAAAATGGAATGCATTGCATTAGTTGTAGTAGTTGTGGTTTTCGTGTTCATGTTAGTGTTATGACAGCTGCTACTGCCGGCGGCTACAATACGTGGTATGTGGGATTTCTTAGATTGAGAGTAAAGTGCATGTAAACTTCCGTTCGGTAAAGTTGGATATGACATTAGTGGCGAATTGACTGGCAAAGCATTAGGTGTTGTTGGTGCCGAAGCATAACATGAAGGACGATGTTGTTGATGCTGATATAATGGCGTTGTGGTAATGTTGGCTGACACTGCTTCTATGCTATACACGCGTTCGGTAAGATATGCTGGCATATCTCTTTCCGGTGTTTCAGCAGGAAAACTTTCGAAAGATTGAAATGCCGTTGTTGGCATACTTTGTTGGTGTTGCTGTTGTTGTTGTTGGAAAGCATTATGCGCCGTTAAAGTTTTATTTAAAGTTTCATTAGGTGCAGTTTCCTGAGTTTTTTTTCTTAATGTTGTATAATAGCCTTCGCTGCTTTTGCTACTCTTTGGTACCAACGAACCAACAATCAATGTATTTTTAGTAATTTCTGGTTCTTCCTCTTCTTCGGTGCAATCTTGAGCTAACATCAACGGTGAGTTACTAACAATATTACTATTACGCCGTTTAAGGGAAGTTTTACGTCCTAGCGTGGCAACTGTACGAGGTGGCGGTAAAGGTGGCTGCTTGCTGAGATGATGAAGCTGATAAAGGAAATTATTCGGTGGCAATGAATTACGTTTATAAGTGACACTTAAATCTTGGGTCATAGGCGGTGAATCACGATAATTTTCTCCTATTAGTAAAGGAGGCAAAACTTTAGGGTATTTACGCCTTTTTATTACGGATAACTGTTGTTCCACTGTCAAAGGAGTTTCGTCCTCTATTATCTCCGAATCGCGACTTGTTACATTTATATCTTTCATCGCAGTGTCCTCGTTGTCATAGATGGCCTCTGATGTTATGAAACTAGTGATTTTCTCCTGATCTTCTTGTTCATTATCTATCGTTTCACCCAAGCTATAGTACACCTCCACTGGATCCGATTGAGAATGTTTATGCATAGGTTGTAAAAGTTCTGCGTTACAACATTCGGTATTAGCTGAGTGTTGTCTAATTAAAGAAAATCGGCTGTTATCCAACGATTCTTGAGGAGTGAGTAATTCCTGATCTTCTACTTCTACCTCTTGGCATATAATAATATTTCGGCCGTCAGCTTTGAACTTAGTTATTTCTATAGGCTCTTGCTGCAAAACACTGCTACCACGTCCTTGAGAAGTCGCGTCAACCGCCACACTTACCTTGTGCGGATGTTTGCCAAAACTGCTGCCGCTACCCGCTAGTGATGAAAACGACGATGATTTCTTCGAACTTTTAGGACTGCTTGGCCTTCTCGGTAAACTGCTACCTGCTTGTAGCTTACTTTCCATCCATTCGCATACCTTAGTGTGCGTATCCACCGTGGAGCAACTTAGTTGTCTCGTTATCTTATAACCATTAAGAGGCGAACGTTCCGTTTTTACCGCTTCATAAGCATTCGATTTTCTTACCATATCCATTACGTAACTATCATCGCCGTCATGCTGGGTGGTTTGCTTAGAACGTTTCAATTCGTCATCAGTAGTTCCATCATAAGTAAGTATAGTACCTAGCTTACGTTGCATGGTTTTCGTTTTCTTTTTCTTCTGCAATAAATACGTAGAATAGATGATGACATTTAATACGATGAATATAACAATTAAGCCAATCAATAAATGCAGAGTAGTTTCTGATTTCAATACTTGTTCTTGTTGCTCTTTTTCATCATCCTGCTCTTCGCTTGATTTATATTTGCTCTCTCTTTCATTCTCATTTACCTTAACGTTATTATAGTTTTTAAGTTTATTAATATTTTGCTGGATATTGTTAGTGGTTGCAGTTAATGTTGTTGCCACTGTTGTGCCACTAGAATGTTGAATACCATAAATTATTTTACCATCATCCGGTTTGTCAGCCAAGTTTGTGTTGGTGATTATGGTGTGTACCGTATTACCATAATACAATTGTTTATCTTCTTTGCTCTGTGCTTGATGATGAACGCCCTGCTGCATTGGCGATGCATTGTACATATTCTCGGCTGTTTCACTACCTCTACCAACATCATTAGCATTACCACCAACAACAATACCTTCGGTTTTGCCATTTACATATGGTTCTTGTAATAGCAATTTTAATGTACGCACTGGATCATCAGCACCATCAGCACGTGTACCGAATTTATTCATATGGCCCATAATTACTTCACTGCTATAACGTTTCGGATATATTTTTCCATCGTCATCCTTATCGGCAGCATCATCATTATTATTATTGTTTCTGTTATTGTTGACGTTGTTGTTGTTGTTACTGCTGTCTACTTGTGGTATTTGTGTATTTTGGAATCGAGTGTCAAGGAAGTACGGTTGCTGCTGAATAACTGCGATTTGATTAAGTTCGTCGGGTAATTCTTTATTCCAGAAGTTCATATAAATTTGTCGATATTTATAGCCTACCGATGGCGGTATTCCTAGATGCGTTAATGAAAGATGAAATTTAAACATAATCGAGTTAGCAACTAAACACAGGCAAGTATGTTTTAATCGTCACAAATACGCTATGTGAAGTAAAATAAACCCTTCATAACCCCAAAAAAGTTGGTAAAAACATAGGAAGAAAGTTCCATCGAACACGATAAGTTGACAACAATCTTACAAGAAATATCATTCGAACACTTAAGCTGGACGGCTGGAAGGTTGAACGATTGAGGCTTTTTTCCGACTGGAGGATATATGCAAAATAAGCTTTGGATCAACATCTCTTGTTGAATGCAAATTGGTTCCTTCTCTCGATTATAAGTTAATCAGTATTATTTTATCTAACGTCTACCTTTAAGAGTATATATATGTATACAAACATATGTATATGTCTGTATTGTCCGTCCGGTATTCTATCCATATATCTATAAATATATTCGTCTTTAATATAGGACAAGCGGACAGAAATACGGATGGACGGACAAGGTTAAGTCCATGTACCCTGGGTATAATCATGTAAAAACGATTCCCAATTTCTGTTTAAATATATTTTTATTAAATTCCGCTTTAGAGATATTATTAACTCTTTTATAATTCTCATTGGGTGCCTTTATTTTTCTTTTCAAGTGAGCCTGAAAATAGTTTTCATAATTGATAATATGGTACTTCCTTAAAATCTATATACTAAATATCTCAATTGTATATTTAACTTACCAATGTTCATGTATGCTTGCGCGCGTTTATTAAATTCGGGCCAATCTAAATCGTAACGATCCCATTCTAAAGCATGCAAATTAATAAATGTGCCCTTCCAAGGTGCTTTAGGATTTCTAAAAATAAACAAAACGACAAATGAAATCCAATTAGTCATTAAAATAATTGATTCCATTTGGAAATGAAACCAAAGATTTACTACTCATTCAATGACATGAAAATGGAATATGTGTTTAGCTCAATTGATAATTTAACAGCATGATGCATTTTTGGCTTAAATGTGATTTGAGAATGCAGTTGAAAAGAGTTCACTAGAAAAAAAGACAACAACTCAGAGACAAAAACAAAAACAAATACCCGGAAAATAAGCTCTAAAAGAAACGTAAATAGAAAAATGAGATAAAAAAACTCTTTCCGAAATGGAATAAAATTCAATTTTTCTCTTGGCAAAATACAGTAGCAACAGCATTATTACGGCCATTATAGCATTGCACTAAAAGTAAAACGGTAATAGCTAGCATATTAGTAATAGTGGTAGTAGTAGTAGTAGTAGTAGTAGCAGCAGCAGCAGTAGTGCTAGCAATAGTAGCAATAGTACCAAATGTACCAGCTACTAGTTGTAGTCGTAGTAGAAGTAGTGACTCTATATAATGTCCTCGGTAATGGTAATAATGCTGATGTTTCAAAGTATATGCGAATGTGAATTTCCTTTCGTATTTCCTCATCTCAGCTGCTTAACAATCCTAATAGTGCACTTTTTTTATGGAGAAATGAGTAAAGTTAGTAAAAACTACTTATTTGTTTGTAAGCATTCACATTAGTAGTTAAATGTTCGAAACTTAATATGACAGTTGGTGTTTAGAGAATATAAAAATTGAATAGAAAATAAAATAGAAAATAAAAATAGAATTAATATAGAGAGAGAAGAAGGTCTTAGATGAAATGTTTAATAAAAATAAAATCAAATCAAAATTTAAAACAAAAGAAAAAAAACAAAAAACACAAAAACCTAAAGATAGAAAGACATATTCTACCTTAGGGTGGATTCACGATCCAGGTCGAAACCACATATTATTCCTCTAATGTTAAAAACGTGACTAAAATACTAATATTTGACAATTTGTAATTTTTGTTGTTTTTTTTTTTTATTTTCGAAATTACAAGCATAGTTTTTGGCGAAACTTTTGCTTAGTCTTTCAACATATGTTACTTATCCACCAATGTAACTATTTACACAATGACTAGCTAGTCTATGGCAACCACGTGCACAGCAACTGAAAATATCTATACCCGATTTTATTTATTGCCCGAGACTGTAATTTCATTAGGAATGAGAGGAACTTGCTGTAGACAAATTCCATCAATTGCTTTGTATGCGAGAAGCTTGCAAAATGACCACACAGGATAAGGGGTGAATAAGAAAATCAAAAGAAGAGTAGATGGGCATATGGACGCGCAACGAGAACGAAAGAGAGAAAGAGGGATGATGGGAGAAAGAGACAAAGGGGGAGGGGGAGGGGGAGGAGTAAGAGTGGGGTTTAAATCAGGAATGACGTAAATTCTACATAGTCTCTCTTTGCTTTTGGGAATGAAAGGAACGCATGGATTTACATGAATTTATGGTCAAGGAAAGTTAATAAAATATGTCAAGCAACCTAAGAAGTATTGCACGAATGACTGTTCAGTGAAGAGCTATTATTTATGTGATTACATGGTAACCCTTTAGCAGCTAAACTATAGGAATGTTATAGCGATTTTGTAGCTGATTGAAATGCTAAATAAGTGAGCAATGTGATACTGAACTGTAAATTATGCAGATTCAGTATTAAAGTAAATTATCTCTTAATGACACTTACCCAGTCTTAACAAAATTACACCAATATGACATAACCGCTTCAGCCAATAGTTTCTCTTGTGATGTATAGTGTATGCCATGAAATGGCCCTACAGCGGCTAGCGGTGCTCCGAACACGAAAGGTAGTTCTTCACCCGCTATGCTGTGAGGTAACTGGAAAGTAATACAATTAAACTTTTTTAAAAAAAACTCGAGTCCATCTTTGTAATGTTTTGCTTTTTATACCCTATAATACTAAATTAAGTTTATGAATATGTATGAAACATCTAGCACCGCTTGGAACCTACCTTTTAGTACGCCAATCGATTCATAATCATTTTCTCAGTCAACCTAAACTTATCTGTCCGTCTGTCCGTCTTGTTTTCTTGTGTTTAACGTACAACACTCAAGTTTTGATATATTTGAGTCCCATTATAGTGTTTTCATTTGTCTTGAATTTATAATTTAAAACTTTTCTAAATATTCGATGCTGCCTGGTTACAGGTTATAAATTTCATTTACACATTTTCGCCTTGCACTTTTATATCTATCATTGTTAGAAATAATTTTCGAACTTCCTCCCATATAATCGTCCCTTTAAAAAATAAACGACAAAGAGATATAATTTTTAATATATTATGCTGAAAATTGGTCCATAAAATCGAACTGCGTTAATTTTGGATCGCATAGATCCATTTTTTGAGCCTACAAAAGCTCGCACGAAAAATATTGTCTTTACAGGGAAATCTTCCGCAACCTTTGATTTCTTATGACTTAAATGAATGAAGAATTGTGTTAGGCGAAGTTATGCAGAGCACTTGATCCTCACCCTTACCTATCTGCGAATAATGTTTATACTTGCTCTAATGTCACTTGATAATGAAAGCACCGACAAAAACCACTCGATCGAGTTTAAAGAATCGAAACGAAAACCTCTGAAAGAATGAGCAATGTAGTTGAGTGTAAGCAGAAAAACTGCCAAGTATCTCATTCTCTAAAATATAATTTCTAGGAGATATGTGTGTGTGTTTGTTACTTGCAAATTATTCCCATTATGCCAACTTTTGAAAGCTATTATAAGGACGAGTTAAATGTATCAAACCCAGCGATGTGAACGTCTTAATTGATATTTCCCATTTAGCAATGTCGATGCCTGTCTACCTATATCGCTATGGCAAAACTAGCTAAAAGCGATAAAATTGCGGTGAGCACCCAAATCTTCCCGCACATGCTCTTCCATTTTAAGACATTATAAAATAGCAAGTGGAGTTCATACATGACTTTTCAAAACAAGACTTTGTATGCGAAAAGGTCGAAAATGTGTTCCTATCCGAACCTTGAGACAAAACGTGTGACAGTGTACCAAACTTCATCGCTCGTAGGCTGAACACAAGAAACAAGGGTGTGAGACGGACAGAGAAGGTTTCTTTCCTAATCGATCGGTATAATAAAAGGTCGATCTATCTGAATCTCTTCTGGATGTTGCATACATCCGGAAAAATTTAACATACCCTTACACCGCAAGTAAGTAAGTAGGTTATAAAAGATTAGTAAAATATTGAGAAAAATTGCAACATATCCAACATGTCCAATAATGATAGCCTAAAGTATTGACCGATTATTACCACATTTGCCTTTGCAATGAGATATAAGCTGAAACCTTCTTAGCCATTTTTCCTTATCTGCAAATAACATAAACACTGACTTATCCTTCGCTTAACAACTTACTATTCTAAAAATCTCAAATGTAAATAAAGGAAAAACAAATGGAATTATTTTATCCTTATCGTAATATTGTATTTAAATCTTCTAATGGAAAACATCTGCCAACACTTGGGATAATTCCTTGTTTTCTTTATTTTAATTTAACAAATGTCTGATTAGATCCTGATATTATTCCCACATACTTGTACATGTACATAGAAATATGAATATTAAATATATACAACACATATTAAAATGCAACAAAATATAAAAAAAATGAAAAATAAAGAAAGAAGTGAAAAACAAAACTTATTTAAATGCTGCATTTATATGCTAGCAAACCACACGAATGAATGCATAAAACTTAAAATAAACATAATTCCCATAAGAATTTAAAACAATGCTCGAATTCCCCGGAATACTTGAAAATATGGTCACGTCTCTAAGTAAGAAGCAAAAAGGAAAAAAAAAAAAGAAGGAAAATAAAATATAAAAAATAAATAAATAAAAAATATAAGTGGTAGTCGGACATATTACGCTATGAGAGAAATTGTCGAAAGAAAAACATTTCCAGTTTATGTTTTCTTCACAAATTTCATTTCATTTTTTTTCTTTATTTTATGCTTTCATTATGTTTGTTTGTGCTTTTGACAAAAATATTTCTGCAAATCCTTTAAATGAAATAAACGAAGTAATTTTAAAATTACGCTTAAGACGAACATTGCGACCCCTATGAGCTTTGTGCCTACTACTGGCGTTTCAACGCTTACGCTGCTGGGCTTTAACACTTCAATGTCTAGCTGTTGATTCGCTATGCCTTAGTCCTCGTATTTTAACTGTGGCGCTTTATATGACGTGTTTTAACTGCTGTGTCTTAGTTGTTGTTTTTGCTGTCGTTCTTTAGCTGCCAGGTCTCAGCTGTCAAGCTTTATTTGCTCTGCCTAAGCTGTTGTGCTTTAGTTTCCCAGCATCAGCTATTTTGCTTTAGCTGTTCGACTTTAATTTCCATGACAAAGTGGTCGTGATTCAGTTGTTGTCTTTTAGTTATCGCGCCTTAGCGTTTATGCTTTAGGTATCATGTGTCAGATGTTGGTCTTTAATTCTCACTACGCAGCGGTTGTGCTTCAGCTGTTGTGCCGTTGTCCTTTAACTATCGCGCTTTAACCACCAAGCTTTAGTTCCCGTTCTTTAGATATTATGCTTTAGCTGTCAAGGTTTAGCTAAGCTTTATCGTCAGTTTTTGGTCTGCAATTGTCACTACACAGCGATCGTGTTGCAGCTGTTGGACTTTAGCTATCATGCTTCAAGTATTAGGCTTTAATTCTCATGGCAAAGCGGTTGTGATTCAGCTGTTGTTCTTCAGCTATCACTCTTTAGATATCATGCCTTAGTAGTTTTACTTTAGCTATCATTCTTCAGGTTAAGGTTCCCCTAATTATCTTGCCTTAGCTCTCGTGCTTCAGCTGTTATGCTTTAGCTATCATGCGTGAGTTGTCAGGATTCAATTCTCATGACATAGCGATAGTACTTCAGCAGTTGCGATTTGGCTTTCGTGCCTTAGCTGTTTTCATTTAGCTGTCATGCTTCAGCTGCCAAGCTTTAGTTCTCATTTCTTAAGCCTTAGCTCTTATGCTTCAGTTACTGCGCTTTGGCTGTTATCCTTCAGCTTCCTTCGATAACCACAGTTGAATATTTGCTAATCAGCAGAGATTGAATAGAATAGTTTGCGTTCATAACTATGGCCATAAGAAGTAGCAGCTGTAGCGTCTTATATACCCATCACCTTGAAAAGGTTTTCTTCACTTATGTGTATGTGTATGTAACCTTGTTCGATTTTTTACGTGGCACAAACACATTTCCAAAAGAGCAAAACATATAAATGTCAGCGAGAGACGTATAAGCAATCAATTGCGTATAGGTAAACGTGCTTTAGTTATGTCAGAATCGTCACGTATGATACTTCATAAGGTAAGCGTGCTTTTTTAAACTGATATTATATAATACGTCCTTCAATTATCGCTATGATTGGAAACAAGCAAGAAGTAAAGCCTTGAGGATAATATGAAATATCCAATAATAATCGTAAAATTTTTTACTACTAGGCGATATATTATATAGATTATTAGTAATATTAACTTTCACCTTCAAGTTTTCTTCATCTTCTCACTTTAATAATGTTCTTGAATTGTTCATAAACAAATTTAAGTTATTTTGCATTATTCCCCAAGTAGGGTCACATTGAAACTATTCATACCTTTCAAAAGTTAACTTTTATCTGGGATGTACGCCCTTTACGCCCTTACAATAATTATTGTTTTCGCAAACAGAATGAAAAACTTAGTATGTCGGTAACCGTTGGTTATGATGTTTATAAAAATATGATAGTTACAGTTTTATACGTTAGGTTTTGGTTTCATTTCTTTTTTGTTATTTCTATTATTTTTTTTTTTTTATTTTTGTTTTGCAAATACCGTTAGCTACAAGTCTGAAAGAAAGGAAAAACATTTGAAACAAAATTATGGTTATGTACGAAAATCTACTTTTACAGAAGAGAAAACTTTTGTTTTCCCATACAAATAATAAGTTATAAGATTTTTTCCATAAAAACTATTGTGACAGTTTTCATTTTTCTTTTATTTTTTTTTTTTTCCTCAGATTCTTCTTTTATTGGATTAAGGAAAGGTTTTAAAATAGAAACAAAAAATATATATATATATATATATGTATACATCTACATGCATATTTTTCATATGATATGGAAAAGAAAGAGAAAGGGAACGCGAAAAATAATTTAAGTGAATCAATTCATGAACTACTGCTAGAGAGAAACTTAAGAAATTTTTACGGACAGGTTAAGTTTGTCTCAGTCTGAAAGTTTTGATAATAAAAGCAAAAAGAAAAAGAAAGCTACTGTAAAATGTGAAGAAATAATATATTATTTTTTCATTAAATTATATCGAATATGCTTCAGTGGACGGAAGAGTTTGCTCAGCGACATCTATGCATGAATGTGAAGAGTAGGTTCAAAATACATATGAAATGTATATAAAATTGTTAACAATTTTAAATTTAATATCGTAGGAAAGGCTCTAAATAAAATCTCCACTAACTCCGATTTTTAAACTATTATTGCTGGCTTGTATAATTTTATATTATTCCTATTTGCGCAAAATTTGTTTTCAATTAGAACATTAACATGGGCAAAGACTACAATAAGACACGGCTCACCATTAAATACCCTACACCACCCTATTGTTACTCATACAACGCCTTTTTAAATCAAGGTTTTATATGAGAAGAAGTCGAAAAACTGATTCGATCCGAATTATTTTCAATAGCGTTCGTCCTTGAGGTAAAACATGTCCGAGTACCAAACTTCATCAAAATATATAAAACATTAAGACCTGTGAGTTGAACAAAAGAAAACGGAGACAGGTCGACAAGCGAAGATCAATTCAGAACCGCTTTCT